AAACCAATTAACAGTGGTAGTTCTTAAACAAAACAGACCAACAGAGTAGGAAGGGTGAGTATAGAGGATACCTGCACATCATTGAGCAGTGAGCACAGTGCATATTCATTGTTGATTGTCTACAAACTTCATTTGCATATGTGGAGTCACAGTCATTCCCCCCTCCTCAGTAGTCAGAAATTATAGTCAGTCATCATGTCTGAGGGGGATTCTATGTCTCTCTCTGGGATCCAACAGATTATTTCACCATTCAGTCAAAACATGAATTCGTTAATTCATTACACAGAATAATGTCTTTTCCTTTTGAGGAGGGTAACTTCATGCCGTGAACAATATTCACCACAGAAACAATCTGTTCTGCCCTCATCCTTCCTCTTAAAAAATAACCACAGAAATACTTTCACATTCAACCAAACCACTGTCAGAAATCAGTGCACTGAACATTAAATAGAAACATAACTAACAATAGAAATGATTACTTCTACACGCTTTGATTTCATTTCTAAGGCATCTGTAACTTTTGAACTTGGCTGTTGGCAACGCTTCCACTCAAACACACACAGAAAATATCAAAACTAGACTGAAGGAAAGAAAACGTAGAGTAAAGAGAACTACAAATAATATTAACCCTTCAATATCAAATGCTGAAAGTATTATTCACCCATCTTGCAAAAAATATCTTCTGCAATGTGGACAAACAAACGACTACAACTGTGACTGATGTGCGATTAAACTACCTAAAGAGTTCGTTTTCAGAGCTAAAGGGAAAACCTTTGGTGTGGCTGTAACTGGATGTAGGGGCCGCATCGTCGGGCCCCCAAAGATTTCAGTGTACAGACTTAAGCAGAACAGGAAGCAGAGAGACAAAACATTATTAAAAATAAAAACAAGAACTTGTTGCTCTCCATAAAGAGCACCCAAACTAAATAAAACACTATCTGGTCATTTATTTTTGATTGTTTTTTTTTTTTCTATCGTGTTATTTTTAAATAAAGAAATATATACACAGATTATAATATGTACACTGGACAAAGAGCTGTTTCAGGCTGCTCTTCAGTGATTACTTTGCCTGAGGTGAGGTGTAGTCGGGTATAAAAACAGTCCCTGGTCAATGTTGTGCTCAAATTATTGTTCGACAGACAATCAGCAGTATACAAGGCTTTTGGTAATAAGAACCATAGGCGAAGGATAGTCCTCGTTTCGATGGTGGAAGATTTATTCGCAGAGTTACGTCATGGAGTGCTCAAGTTACTTCTCATTAAAGCTCATTCCAACAGAAGATGTTGCTGGATGTAACAGACGGTAAGCAAAAGCTGCAGCATAGAATAACTTGAGACTCCGACAGCATCACGATATTGACTGACAGGCGACTTTTCCATGACATAACTCTGGGATAAGGGGCTGTGGTGGAAGACTGAAGGCATCGGCCGGTCTGAGCCTGAGAGGGAAGAACAGGAGCAGCTGTTGTGGTGTGTCTGCAGTTGCCTCCTCACTTCTGTACATTCAGGTACGCACCGCCCTTTACTCCAGAGGGCAAAAACACAAAAAAAGAGGGCGAGGGAGAGAGGTGGGGTGGAGGGTGTGTAAATATGATAAAGGTGTAATCAGATCAGCATCATCTTAGGCTACGACCCGTTCATTTAAACAGTGTATATCTACCTGGTGGCTGGGAGGTTGCTTTTCCCCGTTGACCCCGAGGAGCACAGCTTCCTCAGTGTTGTCGCTCTTCATCTCCACCACGATGTTATCTTTGCTGGACTTCTCTTTAGTGCTGCGAGACCAAAAGAACTCCTTAAAGTCAGAAACATGCATAATGCAACAGAATGTTCTTCTATCCAGCCATGACAATGATGATCCAGCAAGCTGTAAACAGTGCGTTTTTAGAGCTTTTAAACATTGAGCTAAAAGATGCTACAAAGCTCCATGGAGCCGAGAGGAACTGCAGAGTTGGTGATAATCATCTGTGCACCTCTCATGTAACACGTTGTCCTTTGTTAATAGATGTAAATATTAATTGCCGCAGCTTTAATCATGCGAGTGCTACTACACACATGGGTATTCCTACAATGTTACATGCAATTATTGTATTAAAATTAACATTTAATCAATTAATTTTAGCAGCTTTGTTAAGGAATTTCATTAAATATTACCATATTATCTTAAATGCCTTATTTGTTTTTAGAAATAAAAGAAACATGTTTTCTGATTGAATTGAATGCACCAACTTTATAAACCATCATCTTGAGATTTGATTTATTTTTGATGCTGCATCTAAAAGGGGATTAAAACACCTTACATCTTCCCCCTCCAAAATCAAGCTGTTCTTGTCGTACTTACAGGTCTTGCTTGCCGGACCGCCCACAGATCTTGCCCTTTTTGTAGAGGAAGTAGAGCACACTCCCCAAGATGGCCAGCAGCAGGATGCAGATAATGATGACTGCGATGATAAAACCATTGCCCCCTGGTGGGGAAGAAGCACAACAACAACGACGACAGGGTTACTCACTGTAAATGGGTTATGAAAGAGATGACGGTATGAGGCAGGGCAGTCGGATACAGCATCGCATCAGGCAGGCTGTGTGTGCAGCATGTGTGTAGGTACAGTAGATAGCAGTACAGAGTCTAAAGAGAGTGCAGCACTAGCATCATACAGAGGACCTTTAGGCAACCTAAAGAAAGGAAGTCATTCAGGAGTGAAGGAGGAGTGGTGCGCTTATATACGACAACATGCACAGGAAGAGGTGAAGATGAACAACTCAATGATGCTTTGATGTTTTGTTCATCAGGAGGTCTGATGAATGCTGGGAGCTGAGAGAGAGGGAGGTGCTGTGGAGAGGTGGAAGGAAGCTTTTTGCCTTTGAGATGGAGAGGTGAGGGAGAGTCTCCAGCAGCGTAACATACAAACCTTTCTTCGGAGGGATAGGGGTTTCAGCTTTGACTGAGAAAAACCACATGAGAACAATTATCAGCGGGTGACTGGATATATTAAATGACTCATAGCAGCAGGCCTGGTGCACACACACACACCCGCACACACACACACACACACACACACACACACACACACACACACACAC